ATAAATAATTCTTCTCAAAATACCAAATAGTGTTATAAATAATAGATTAAATTACTGGTATATATATATATATATATATATATATTTATACTGTTTAATTTCTAGATTACACCATCTATATAGAAATGTAAAATTAAATTATAGAAGGTGAGGTAAGGGGGATACTTTGTTTCCATGATTGGATTTGGCTAAGGTTATGGAAGTAAAGTAAAATAAACATAATTACGTTCATATATACCTTTTTATTCTAAATAAATACAACTATGGTATTAAATCAGTATCATTTAAATGTATCTAATTTTTTAAGTGAAAGAAGTCAATACTGTATTTTATTACTTCACTAATTATTAATAGCTTAAATTGTTCAAAACATCTTTAACATCGATTATTGTGTTATGTAGGTTTTATAATTAGTTACAATATTTGTAAAGTACTAAAATTTATATTTATTTTAGGTTTAAACACTGTGTTAGAGTAAAATTGTTTATTATGTACATGTTTTTCAGTTTCCAATACTAACTTGAGGCATGGCAGCCCAAGGACTATCTAATCTTACTGGAAAAGTGGCCCTTATAACAGGTTGGCTGTTGCAGTAATGAACATATATTCATGTTTTTTTATTCTATTTTTTAGAAAGCATTAAATGCCAGTATTTAACTTAAGTACATTATATCAAAACAGATTATGAGCCTCACCACATCATTATTGTCCATGTTACCACATCTGGTCATTCTCTGTCTGATGATCATGCATCTTGACAATATTTCTGCAAAATAGTTTCCATTGCAAAAGGCTTCATAATAAGGAGAATATGTCTATTTCACTTACTCATTCCTGCATGCTTTCCATAATCCATCTAGTATACAAAGACAGTGTTTTCCCATCACCTATTGCAATAGTCTGATTGAACAGAAATCTTTAGGTGCTGCATTTGATGACTTGACTGTTTATTTTCTTTTGGAATAGCATGAATACCATTTCATTCTTCAGCTGCATAAGGTATGCAGTGATTAAATGGATGTGTTGTGGAAGCAGATATACTTGTGACTTGTGTCTTTTTTCCAGACATAAAGCCTTGTTGATTATGTTGCGTGGAGCATGTGGGCAGCTTTTGTCACTGACCTTTGTGTTTGTTGTTTCTCAACTGTTACAAGACACTACATTTTGCTTATCTTGGCTGAGGTATGACTTGTTGATGACTTTCTGGAATATCCTGGGTCCCAAAGTTGATCCACATTTCTTTGTTTTCTAATTCTATGAAGTATGCAGTTTATTCCTGTCTTTGAAATTCTGAATCCCTAATCGGAACACACCTTCATGATCTGAGTATGAATACTTGGAAAGGGCTGTTTCATGCTCTTCCTGAAAGAGATTATTTTCAGTGTCATCACACTACCTACAAAACACCAATTAATGTCAAAATTTAGTTTTTATACATTCCATTCCACTGAGACTTTTACATCAGCTGTATTTGTCAGTGCTTGCTGATATGCTTATTGAAGATTGTTTTGATATAACATACTCAGCTCTCTGAATTTGTTAACAAAAGTTGATAATTATGTGTTACAAGTTTGGCCATTGTTGTCCTTTCATGTGGTGTATGAAAGGACTAAACACTAATGCTAACCTGTATCTGAAAATGAGTGCTTTGATAACATAAGATTAGATATTTGTGAAAAGACAAAGGCTTTGTAAACTTGATTTATGATGCTGTTAGAATATTGTTTCTCTTTGAGCTTAGTGTTTAGCAATGTTCAAGATAGTCTTAGCTCTGCATGAAGTTATGTAGCCAGTGGGAGATTAGACCTAATGAGAATCATGATTGTTTGATATACATTATTTATTAGTTATTGCCTGTTTTCGATTTCTGGTAAGTACTAACATTTGACCAATTGTTGTTTTGGATTGACGTGTAATTTTAAATATTGAATAAACTGTTAGTTTGGTTTTTTTACAGCAAGTCTGTGAGTATCTGTCAGTCTGAATAGAATCCATTAGTATTATATGTACTAGAATTTAGTTAAATACACAGTTTTGAATAAATAATCAATTAGTATAACAATTAAAACTAGTAGTGGACCTGTTTCTCAAGTTATAATCTGTATTATTCTGGTTTTCTAATGTACATAAGTCTTACCCAGATATTTTTACAACCAGAATAAAGTAAAAATTCTTAAATACTAATACTTGCAAATCTTGAGAGTACTAATCTTGTAGGAATAATATTGCAACAGGAATTTAATATGAAAGTGTTGATTATTTTTGTTTGTGCATGTGTAAATATTTACTATTAGACTTCTTGTGTGATGCAGCTTATTTTAAGTGCTGTACTGTTTAGGAAACCATTGGATAAAGTTAATTAATAAATTAATAAAACACTTGCATCTCAACCTCATTGTTAATTCCTGTAAGAAAAATATTTAGGTTATAATTATTGTTTCATCTCGTGCAGAATTTGAATAAAGTATGGTTTGATATAATAAGAAATAAAATGACTTCAACAAAAATGAAACATTTTTGGAACAGCCTCACCATTTTGATATGATGCATTAAGCACTGTGTTTTATACATCATTTGGCAAATAAACTTGAGATATAAATGTTACATGGCCATCAGTTCTTTATCTAAAAAGACTTGTTCTCAAGATTCTTGTGCATATTTAATTTTTTCAACTAGGAAATCTTCACTTCATTTCGACCCAAGATGAAAAAAACAGTCATCAATTTTTTAGAATGTATTTACGTTGTAATAACTTTAACCTCCGATTATAAAAAATTGAGCATACAGAAGAAATAAAAAATAATTAGACCTAAAACCAACTACGACTGTCAAGCCTGAGTAAAAATACCTTTTCATTTTAATCTTCAAACATTCTTTTGGTAGCTATAAATATATAAATTTCTAGATACAACATTTGACAGTGATACCAAATTACAGTAGATTTAGGTGTATGACTCATGAGTGATAATGTGTTCTGGTGTTTTATTATTCTTATAAACCTAATTTCTGTATAATGGGGTTAGAATAGTGTGTGATACTATGAATTGTACTTGTATTTCTATAATAAATCTTTTGTGTAAGTTTTTATTTTCAGACAAAATCATTCAAAATTATTAATTATGCTAGGTTATAAGTGTATAATGCTTTTGTATTTATCTAGGAGCAAGTTCTGGAGTTGGAGCAGCTACAGCTCTACTTTTTTCACGATTGGGAGCTTCATTGTCTTTAACAGGGAGAAAAAAAGAAAACTTGGAAAAAATTGCAAAAAGATGTGAGGAAGTTTCACCATTGAAGCATCAGGTGAAGTCTTAAGTAGTTTGTATAAATCATGAAGGATAGAAATTTTTCTACACACAAACACTTTTCTCATTCACTTGTTCGTATCTCCCACATACAACATTCTTTTTTTCAACCACGCATCTGATATAGTAGATTTGAGAACATTAAGGAACTGTAACTGCTGTTTAAAGAGGAGTTCACCTGATATATTTTCCCTTCCCCTCCACTATTAAAAACCCACCAGTTTATATGAAAATGGTCTCACCACAGTCTCTCATATCTGACTGTAACTACTTTCACATGCAATTACTTTTTTGTTTTTCATGGTCCCATATTGTTTTACCTACCACCATGCCCCCCAAGTTAAACAAAAAATGAAGCCTGGCTAACTAATGAATGAATATTTGCTGCAAAATTCTTATCAATGCTATAAGTATAGCTACCAGTTTGGCTGCTGATTTTGATTTTATTCCTTTAAGTTGTAAGCCCAATCCTGTTTTGGTCGTATCTTTTTTTTCACACTTAAGGTGTTTTTGATTAGATATCATGACTTTTTGTCAATACACACCAACAAACCACAGCAAGTAATGAAGTGACACTTCATAGTAACCAACATTACCTTTAGGATAGCAACCCTATTATTTGGAACAGAACTGTAATTTACAGAATCATCCAGATTCTTTAAGATATATAATGATAGTTTTCCTCTCTAAAACAATGTTAATAACTTCCTTTATAGCAATGCCGTGGAAACTAGATTAACAGTTTCTTGTCATCACCTGCGTGCACTGGGTACAGTCGTTTAAAACATCATTTTTCATGCTAATTGCTGAAGCTAATATCACATGATACTAAATGCTCTTTAGAGTTTAATTACGAGAATTTCATAAAATTTAGCAAATTTGTGTTTAAAAATTGGCAATGAATAATAACCATCCATCTGTATGATTTTATTGAAAATATCACCTAGAAAGTGCTAATCTAGTTTACTTGGCCTTACCAATACTTATGCATCTGCATGTGCTTTCACTCTATAGGTTTGCTGCTCTAAATCAGTCTTCTGTAATCCAGATAACAAAAAACTAAAAATGGTTCATCTTTACTCTTAGGTGAAGCTGTAGTATAAATTTCAGAATGATAGCTCATGTGACTTTTTGCATAGGTGTGTACAAAAGTTTGGTCAAAATTTAGTGGTTTTTGTTGAATACCTTTGCACAGGTGGCTTATATTTAGATCAGATTTTGATATCTAACTGTAAGTTATAAAGATCTATCAGTGTACTAAATTTGAAAAAAAATCCATGAAAATTAAGTGTGTTTTTCTATCAAATAAAGTATCTGTACTTTCGATGCAAAGAAAAAAAAAGGAAGAAATTCAATCAAAATTTGAGATGTTATATCTCAGGTATTTCGTAATGGATTACCTTGAAATTTAGTAAGTGAAGTAAGGGTCCAGTAGAGCATATCCACTGAAAATATGTGATAGTTTGGATTACCAGTCTGAGCTACAGAAAGTGGGAATTTGCTAAACTATTGCTCCTGTTAATAACACAGTGTGTCCTGCAGGTTGTTATGCCTGCACATGTCTTGATCTCGCTAGCTTTACACCATGACTTATGGTATTCTGTATCTCACCTTACCACACCATCACTGTCAGTATTTCTTATCTTGCCTGCCCCACACAGTCACGTATGGTATTCTGTATCTCACCTTACCACACCACCACTGTCAGTATTTATTATCTTGCCTGCTCCACACAGTCATGTATGGTATTCTATATCTCACCTTACCACACCACCACTGTCAGTATTTCTTATCTCGCCTGCCCCACACAGTCACGTATGGTATTCTATATCTTACCTTACCACACCACCACTGTCAGTATTTATTATCTTGCCTGCCCCACACAGTCACGTATGGTATTCCCTATATTAGTTGTCACATAACCATCGCGATTGGTATTCTATATCTTACCTGTCACATCGCTATCACTTTCAGTACTTCTTTCTCACCTACCCTATTTCATCACTTTTCATATTTCTTTAATGTGATCAATTAAAGACTGTTTAAACTAAATTTGCCTTATGGTGAGAGAGTTTGGGAAATTTAAAAAAGACTTGAAGCATAACAAGTTAAATATAATCATAATAGATTTAATAATAATCTTACTTGCCATTATTCTAATGTTGGGAGCATTAGGAATAAAATTAATGTGTTGAGGGTTTAAGATGAAATGGAAGACAAGGATCTGATGGGAATTACTGAAACTTGATTAGATTTGGAGAATATTGATGATGGGAATTATGTAGGAATACCAGGTTATGTTATATAACAGTGATAGTCATAGTCATTCATGAAGTTGGGTCTATATGGGTCACAATTGAGGGTAGGAATTAATTTTTAATTACCGTTTGTTATAGAGCACATTGTCAGAGAAACGATGTCAACCAAAATTTGTATAACCATATCAAAGTTGTTATTAAAAGGACACAGTAATCATGGGACTTTAATTTTCCACTCTGATTTCGATTGTATCAAGTGAAGTAGTGAGAGAGAAAGGTTTCTTGAAGTGATACAAGATGGATTTATGGTCAGAGAACCATCCAAAATGGGTGCCATTTAGATTTATTATTAATCAAAAATGAGATATAGTTGTATGAATTGAAGTAGGGGAGAGCATTTCGGGAAAAGAGTTGTTATTGCATAAATTAGGTTTGCTGTTTTGCTACATGTTAAGATAGAAATAAATGACATTTTAGTTCCTAATATTAAGAAAGCCAATTTTCAAACCATGAGACACGATTTGTCATTAGTAATTTGGAATAATGAGTTAATAGGTGATGTAGGACAGATTTAGAAAAATTTTTTAATTAAATTTAAACAGGCAAGTCCTGAGTATGATCATCTTAATTCTACCTGTTTTATTTACCTCTTTTGAAAATTAGAGAGCCTTTATTTTATGTCGCGATTTTATCTGATACATGATATTACCCATCACATTATCTGTCTATAATTTCACCTGTAATGTATTTTTTTCTGAATTTTGTGAATCATCACCATCTAATTATGATCTCGGTTGGCACATCCAACCGTTATTGGGTTGATAGTCTTATTTGTTGCACATCATAAATTTTTCTATAACTTACGGTCACTTTCCTTGTTCATGATCTCACCAACCGTACCTTCTGCTTCTTTTAACCATGAATTGATGTAATAATATACATCACCATCATCTATGTTTCTTTATGATTTCATCCACAGCACTGTTTGTTTGTTTTTCTGCTCCTATATGTTACTTTCTTTGTACCATAATCTCACTTAAGATCATTGTATGTAAATTCCTCCTTACTGTACTTAGCATTTAATTTCAGCTATTTTGTAAAGGAAAAATAACTAAGAAAGATATTAATCCTATATTTTGAAGGATATTATTGGTAAATTGAAATCCTATCTATTTGAAAAATGCTAAGTTTTTAGAGATGCAGTTAAACCTTCTAGTTAGTTGAAGGTTTTTTACGTGGTATTTGATTAAAACATGCATGTAAATTTGTTCTTTAGCCCCTATACATAATTGGTGACTTAACAGTGGAAAAAGAAACGCAGCTCATTTTGGAAGATACTGTAAAACATTTTGGAAAGTTAAATGTGCTGGTAAGTTGTAGCTGAATCAAGAAATGTTTCAGCTTCATGTTTTATTTAGTCTGGTAGTTTATGATTTTGTGGATGTGATTAGAGAGATTTGTACAAAACTTGTAAATGGGATTAGGTAGGTATTACATGATTTTGTAAATGGGATTAGATAGGTATTACATGATTTTGTAAATGGGATGAGACAGGTCTGTACATGACTTTGTAAATTGGATTAGATAGGTATTACATGATTTTGTAAATGGGACTAGACAGGGTTGTATGCAATTTTGTAAATGGGATAAACAGGTATGTACATGATTTTGTGGATTGAATTAGATAGTTTTGTACACAAATTTGTGAATGGAATTAGCTATTACATGATTGGATAGGGTTAGTTAGGTTTGTACATGAATTTGTGGATGGGATTAGATAAGTCTATACATAATTTTGTGTATGGGATTAGACAGGTATGTACACAATTTTGTGGATTAGAATAGATAGGTCTCTATGTAATTTTATGGAATGGATTAGTTCTTTAATCTTTGATTACCTTAACTTCATTTATGAAGAAATCAAGACTGTAGGTGGCCAGATATTTTGTAAGTTTTGAATAGTTGTGGAGTAACTCCGTGATTTACATATATTTTGTTCTTTACATGAAAATATATGTGAAAATCAAAGTGATGGGCTGGATATAGCCTAGCAGTCTTTGAATGCCAGATTATAATTTCAAGGGTCTGTAGTTCATGTCTCGTTATTATTAAATCATTCTCCACAGTGGGGCTGTTTAAGAATTTTAAGTGATGTTCATATCACACTATTCAATTAAAGAAGCCCAACATTTACTTGTGGGTGCTGTTAACTACTTGCCTTTCTCTTACTCTATTGGCTTAAAGGTATGGATGGGTGATATAGATAAATTTGTGTAATTTTGCATAAATATTCAAAACAAGACCAAAGTGACAGTAGGCTATTCAACACCTTAAATTCATCCCTCCACCCAAAGCAGTCTTTTATATATAGAGGCTTTTCAATCAGTCTGAAGGCGTATAATGTTTCAGTATCTGTGGTGGACACAACACGGATAGCTTATTGGGTAGCTCTGTGCTTTACTATAAACAAACATGCTTATGTGTTTGGTAGGTGATCATTGACCATAATAAATAAGTATTTTTCATCCAAACAAATACTCTTTATTTCTTCATTCAATTTGCGTAATTTTGTGTTGGTTTTAACAACTTTTATTTTTTGTTTGCTTTTGTAGTCAGAAGTAACTAGGCAAAGTTTGTAGTTAATGAGAATAGTAAAGTTGGTACATTCATTGAAGGAAGCTACTAGTTATAAACTATAAAAAAGTTTTTGTAGCCCATATGTTTAAATGTATTCTCCATCTTTATACTTTCATGTAAATATATTTTTTTAATTTAGCAACTAATGTACATCCTTAAGTGTTTTTAACTCTCCACCTAATAAGGCTGATAGTGTTATTCTTTTTAAAGTTTTTATTTTGTAGAAATTTTAAATGTAAGATTTTGTTTTTACTATATTATTTCAAACATGAAATGTAAGATTTTGGTTTTACTATATTATTTCAAACATGAAATGTAAGATTTTGGTTTTACTATATTATTTCAAACATGAAATGTAAGATTTTGGTTTGACTATATTATTTCAAACATGAAATGTAAGATCTTGGTTTTACTATATTATTTCAAACCTGAAATGTAAGATCTTGGTTTTACTGTATTATTTCAAACAAGAAATGTAAGATTCCTCTTACTTAATTGACAGACTGTGTCTTATCACAGTTGAGTAATACAAGTATCATTGTTTTATAAATGCAGGTGAATAATGCATGGATTATTGTTTAATACAGGTTACATAGGTAATTATTTTATACATATAAATGAATAATACAGAGATCACTATTTTATATGAATAATACAAATATTACTTTTATACTTAATCATAAATAGGACAGGAATCACTGTTTTTACATTCAGGTAAATAATGCTGGATTTTTTGCAGAGATCACACACATGTTACTAATGCAAAGACCACTGTTTTGTAGATACACCTAAATAAGTCAAATAAGTTCAAGATTATTATTTTATACATACAGGGGAATAATACTAGAATTTTCTAAATATGTAAATAATGTTGGTGTGTTGTTTAATTCCAGGTGAATAATGCAGGTAATCAATTCAGGTGTAATTTCTTTCTGACAGATGATTAGTAAAAACTATTGTTTGATTACAGCTAAATGAAGCTTTTATTGTTGTTTACTCATAGGTGAACAATGCAGGGATTATTGAGACTGGAACAATTGAAAACACCAGTCTTGAACAGTATGACAAGATGTTTAATATCAATGTCAGGTAATTCCATATAAGTTTAAAGAAAATGTTATATTCTCATTCATTATTTAAGGCAGCTACATTGAGTTTTCTTAATATGGTAAACATAAAAACATTCTAAGCAGTAGCTGTTCCAAGCTAAAACCTAATGTAGAGGGGCAGAAAAATTAAAAAATGTAAAGAATTTAAAATTTTAAGACTATCATGAATTGAAGGCTGCCCCCCATCCTGGTGTAAATGCATATTTATTTCTGTTCCTATTAGAGTAGTATCTTGTGCATGAGAAAAGACTAATGACATTTATGTACAAAAAAGGGTATCTATTTACACTTAGAAACTAATTTATTTTCTGGAGCCAAGCACAAAGTTTAAAGTCCATTTTAGTGTCATTTAATATTGACAGAACATTTGAGAAAATTTTGTTGAATCAGTGATATGTACACTAATATGTAAGCTGAAGTAATCAATAAATCCTTAAAATGAATGACTTTAGGTAAAGTAGCTCTTTTTTTAAAACTAAAATCTATGTGATTGAGTTAGGGTTTAATGTAAGTTGAGTTTAGGATCAATTGACAGTCTCAAATCATAAGTTAAGTTTATATAATTCATTATAAAAACAATTTCTTAACCCAAGTTTTTCAATTGTTTCCATTCAATGAAGTATCTAATTTTTATTCACAATTTTTGTATGTAAGATGTAACACTGACAGTTACAACACTTACAGCTAGTTTTGTGGTGTTACAAATTCCCCTAAATTTAATGTCTTTCATTGCCTTATTAAACTTGCATTAGACACTGCTTATTTTACATTTCACCAAAAAGGATGTAGGTATAGGTATATATAGATAACTATGTTAAAAATGTAAATTTGGTAAATTGGTTTATAAAGAAAAATATTTTGAGACACAAATGAGAGAGATTTCAATTTAATTTTATAAAATTAATACATATATTATGCTTGTAGTATATTTACTTTGTTTTCAAAGTATTTGTGTTAGAGACATAGTATATATTTTTTTTTATAGCACTGATAGTGTTGCTAGGCTATAAAACATGGTGAAACATGCTCTCTCTCTCTTTAACAGGTCCGTGTATCACTTGACCATGCTAGCTGTCCCTTACCTTGTTTCAAGTAAAGGCAACATTGTTAATGTATCCAGTGTAAATGGACTAAGATCTGTAAGTTTAAACAAAACTAATTTTGTTGTTTGTAAATGATTCAGAATTGTTAGGAAAGTAAAATTTACTTAATTAATATAATTGCAGCTTTGAAACAATACTTTATTTTTTTCAACAGTTTTAATCTGTGATTGTTAGTTTTCATTATAGTTTTAGAAACTAGTAAGAAATTCAAGTGTTAAATGTTATAACAGTTTTTTTTAACCAGAGGAGTATCACTGATATACTCCAATTTTTCTCATTCTTACATTGGAAATACTTAACCAAGTTGCATAAAACTTAGTACAACCTTACTAAATATCTTATATTTTCAGAATTGAAAAATTTTAGATAATTTGATTAGTTTTCTATCATTTTTTTAGGCTCTGCAATTTCCAAACTTTTGTTGTGAGACACTATTTTGAAAAAAAAACTTTAAAAATACTTCCTTTCATCTTAGAAGTTAATTCTTGTTGCTGTTTGTCAGAAAGTTCCATTTTACATACCAGTCTGTTTAAACCCGATTGCTGTTCATTAACATATTTTATTTAATACTTTATTTTGCCAATTGCAGGTATAATTCCTAAAAACATAACTGTCAACAATTACCTATTTCAGGTTAGCTAACAATATTTTGGTACAGTGTTTGTTGTTGAGATCAGTTTAAAGCTGATATTAATAAATAATAAGTTTATTTATGTGTATTATTTGAATACAATAAATTCAGTAAATATAAAGACTTTAATCATGGGAATATTTTGTTCTTGCCTACTTACTAAACCTAACTAAGCTTACCTGATGTCTTTTCATAGAAGAAACTTTCCATGGCTTTCTAACAAATATGATTTAACATGAAAACATATGTAAAAAATCCTTAAGTCTTTGGTGTGTTCCAAAGTCTTCTAAACTTCGTATCAGATTTTTGTTGTTGTTCCTACTGGAGCTGTAAATAGTAAGTTTTCCATGAAACCATAAATTACTGCTCAAACCACTTTATTTACTCTACATTGTTCCAAATAGTTTATAATCTTTCTTAACCAATGGTATTCAAACATTTACTATATCTATTTCCAAAGTTGTGCTTCATTATTAATTGTTTGGGTCACACGTACTGTATGGGGGAAAAAAGGCCTTTGGTAATAAAACTACTAAAAAAGAAATAAAATTAAGGGAGAAACAAGGTATGGAAACTATAGCAAATTTAAATCCATGACTTGGAAATAGGCAGGAATTTCTAACAAAGTTGATAGATGCATTGTTTACAGTTCCTTAGTGTTGAGCAGAGATCATAGTCAGAACTTTTTCTGAATTTCTAACAGAGTTTTAATAGATGCATTGTTTACAGTTCCTTAGTGTTGAGCAGAAAGCATAGTCAGAACTCTTTTCTGAATTTCTAACAGAGTTGATAGATGCATTGTTTACAGTTCCTTAGTGTTGAGCAGAGATCATAGTCAGAACTCTTTTCTGAATTTCTAACAAAGTTGATAGATGCATTGTTTACAGTTCCTTAGTATTGAGCAGAGATTATAGTCAGAACTCTTTTCTTCTTCTTCATTTTTTCTTTATAAATTTTGCTAAATAAGTATACAAAGTGAGAAATTATTGATACTAAAACATTTTCAGTAAGTATTGTCTTTTATACCTTAATTTCACACCAGAGTAACAGAGAGTGAAATGTATAAATGTAATTCTATAAAACTGAGTAAATTAGAAATAATTTTGATATGAATGTTTTTTTTACGTTTAATATTATGTTTATATGTTCCTTTTGTGTAATTGTTTTTTTTTCAGTTTGCTGGTGTCTTGTCTTACTGCATGTCTAAAAGTGCTATTGACCAGTTCACTCACTGTGTAGCTCTTGGTGAGTATCTGCTTAACTGATTGAGACTGTGAAAAACACATTATGTCTACCCACGCTCAATATTGGTAGCACTGTATGACCTCTGTAAGTTATGATGTATATAGACTTCTAGGCTGGTAATTGTATGTTGTGAGAACATACTTTTGTTCCTTCAGCATATTTAAAACTTCTGGTAATTTAGAAAGTGTCATAGTTAGTGACTGCCATTAGTTGAATTCTGTATTCTAATCACCTAAACATTTTTGGTTCCTCTATTCCGTTATCATAATAAAATCATTTAATTGAATTGGCTCTGTGTCCAAAAACTTTGGGTAGTAAAAATAAATTTAAAAGATGTTGAAAGCAGCTAAACCTGATGTTTATAAATTTACTTAGTTTAATGTTGGTAAAATAAGTGTTTTTTTTTACATCTGGTGGATATCATTTGTAAGATTTGAAGTGTTGCCTTCAGTTAAGAGAATGACATTGAACTTGTTTAGAATATTGTATGTCATTTACACTGTTATTTTACATGTGTATTTATAGAATATTATACACTGTATACACCTCCAATTCACATGTGGACTTGTTGCTTAGAAAGCAAGGATCAATTTTAAGAACTTTTAACCTATTATATTTCTTATGTATATGACAAATATATGATGACATAAACCCCGAATGTTATAAGGTTATTGAAAATAGAATAGAAATTTTCTCAGCTTAACCAGTGACTAAAGTTGGAACTTCCATGTATAATTAATAGGATTATTGCAGTTGTCTTGATGAAAACTTTGAGCATGATAGAAAGAATTAGCATCTGTTGACAGTTACCAGACTTTTGAATTAGTAAGTAGTCTAGAGTAGCCATGTTTTTGTTGATGTACTTGTTTGTCAACAGAAGTAAGATAAAGGGATGTAAGTAGAGGGACTTTGACCTTAAAAAGTCCATTGTTGGAATATTTCTTATAATGCTAGCCTAATTTCTGTTTTATCTAGAACTGGCCCCTAAGCAGGTGAGAGTGAATGCTGTCAAGTGAGTTCAATTTCTTTACTTTTCCAACTTGTTTTATATTATGATGATAAACAGATTTGATTATTTTGACACAGTAATGTTACTCTTCGACTAATACTGCTTGTTTTTATGTGATGTGTATACTTGTTTTTCTTCCCACAACAGCCAGCATGATGAGATCTTGAACCATTGTAAACATATGGTCCTTCCAAAATGTTCTTCTTCATAAATAATGTTTCTGAAATTTTTTAGCTCCTGTAGATTTGTTTTCTAGAAAATTTGTAAAATTTAACTACGCAGTACCCAAAATAGTTTTACTTTCAATAAATATTTATCACTAGATTTATATTTAAACAGACAAGACGAGTTTGTAATGGACTTCAAAAATGTTTGATAAAGTAACATTATTTTTATACGTTTCCCAAAGCAATACTCTCCTTTGAAAGAACTTCATTAGAAAATTAATAATTATCATTATTGATAAGTGAAAATATATATTAGGCATATACTGTAAAGTTACATACAAATTAAATGGGTTTATAGTAAACTTAAAAGTTTGGAGACAGTTTGAATGGGTAATGAAGAAAACTTTATTATAATGTGTACAATGTTTTGACAATATTATGTCATCATCAGATACTAAATAATTTTGATGATTTCTACATTTGTGGTACAAAGTTTGGAGATAGTTGCATGATACAATACATTTACAGTGGTAGACAAGTGAGGAAGCATACTGGAAATATATATGGAGGATAAAAAAAACATTTAGACTTGCACAACCTCTAGTAATTGCCATGATGACTTTAAATATGATGATGAGGAATCCAATTCAGGTACCTGATGATGACATAATCTTGTTGAAACATTGTACACTTATAATAAAGTTTCCTTCATTACTCATTCAAGCCATTTCCAAACTTTTATTTTCTGAAAAGTGGGTTCCTCATCAATAAATTTACAGTAAATTTATTACTATTGTTACAGTTTGGCTGAGAAAACAGAAAAACAAACTGTTCATTGATTAGAGTTAACATTACAGGTTGACTTCTACAGTATTTACTATTAAAGAAGACAAATTGCAATATAAGGACTTGATCATGATTTAAATCTCTCCTTTGGATGTGTAAATTACTGCAAAAGTTAGAATTTAGTTAAGAACTAGAGTGAATATTGTAAATGAAAAATTGTAGGTGGCATATATAATTTTTATTTCAATTTTTGATTCAATAAACATTTTATTAATTTGATTTATAAATATTCAGCATGAAAACTCTTCAACATCAAAATTCTACCTAGAATCACGTGCTGCTGACTTAAAAAATAAAATAAAAATGTATATACAGTGATGCTCATCAGTGGTAAAGCTGCATGCTTACAGCACAAAAGATTGGGTTTTGATACCCATGGTGGGCAGAGCACAGATAGTCCATTGTGCAGCTTTGTACTTACAACACACCAACCATCCAGTGATAATCTCTTCTTTTAATCAGTTAACCTGCCTAGAAATTTTGTTTTTATATATTTTGAATTAAATCTTATGATTATCAGTACATTAGGAATACCACCCTGTCACATATATAGACTGTTTAACCTGCTCATAGATTTTACATCTACATCATATACACTGTAGTAAGTTGTATCAGTTTTAGTTTTGTATAGTGTGGAAGAAGTCATTACAATTAATAATATTTACTTGCAACTTGATGCTTGGAGACGGCTTGAATGGGTAATGAAGAAAAACTTTAACATAAGTTTAACATAACAGCAAATGTACAACATTTCGACAAGGTTTTGTCATCATCAAGGTTTTACCATCTCCAAGCATTATTAGTCTCAAAGTGGGTTCCCCGACATCGAAGTTACGTGCAACATGTAATGAGTTAGTCATTATATAATTCACAAAAAAGTAGTAGATGGATTAGTAGAATTTTTTATGCTTATTAGTATGGGGCTAGTACATCAAAACATATTTTTCCAACCATGTATTATCTTTAAGATACAAATTGTTGCTATTAAATGATTACATGTTACTTCAGTCCAGGTGTTCTAACAACTGGTCTTCAACTACGTGGTGGCCTCACTGAAGAAGCCTTTAAGCAGGTCAGGAATATTTTTTTACATGTAATCTATAATACAGATCACACTTGTAAAAATGAAACAACAATCTGAGATTGAGGGAGTTATAACAAACAGACAGACTACATAAACTGTTAAAATTGTAGTTTGAGTTAAGAAGTGCCATTATAACTGATTGCTAATGGATTAATCCCTTAGATTAGTAAGCAAACCACTTGCATATAGTAATATGAAACCTAGGCTTAGTTCCTACTTGTGAGATGCAAAATATGTTGGGAAAAACATAGTATTAATCATATTCACTTCAGCCATAATATGAGTTGCTTTTGTTGGCTACGAAAATTATAATGTATACAAATAATGTTTTTAATCTTTATTTTACATAGAAGTGAATTTGAATGCACGTTATCTAAAAGAGCAAGAAACGTAATCTTCAGTACTTAAATCTTTTCAAGCTTTATATCAAACCTTGAACTTCAAAAGACAGTAGGTATTACATTGAAAATTGTTAAAACTTCTTTTTGATGTACACTGCATTACCAAAAAGTACTGGTATGATGCATCTTCAGCTTGTAATGGACTTGCTCTGACAAACATTTCATGTGAATCCCACAGGACATATCTCCATATGATTGATAAAGCTTATTACCTGCCACAGGCAGCCAGTTGGAGTCAAAATGCCACTGGCAAATCAGCTTATGTTCATAAATTGGAAGGTTATTAGATGAAGTATTGCTGGTTCAATGTGATATTTCAGTCCGTCTTCTTGTACTTAGCCACTATTGATAATGTGTTAAATAAAGGGGAGATCACTGGATGTGTAATTGACTTAGTCCTTTAATACTTTAAAATGAAATTCCTTGTCTGCTATTAACTCCATCACTTAGTATTGTAATTAACTTGGGAGATCACTGGATGTGTAATTGACTTAGTCCTTTAATACTTTAAAATGAAATTCCTTGTCTACTATTAACTCCATCACTTAATGCTGTAATTAACTTGGGAGATCACTGGATGTGTAATTGACTTAGTCCTTTAATACTTTAAAATGAAATTCCTTGTCTACTATTAACTCCATCACTTAATGCTGTAATTAACTTGGGAGATCACTGGATGTGTAATTGACCTAGGTCTTTAATACTTTAAAATGAAATTCCTTGTCTGCTATTAACTCCATCACTTAGTATTGTAATTAACTTTCAAAGTTGCAGACCAGTACATACAATGTGCACACTGCACAAATAGTTCCATGCTGCTATATTTTAATGATGGTTTGTAACAAATGTTCATCACAACCACGAATGCAAAACATCAGCCTTGTGCATTGAAGTTGGAATGTTTAACAATAGAAAACCATGATTTGGTGTGGTGAGTGTTGATACTCATTATTTAACTAAAATAAATGTATTTAAATTTGATTAAAATGTGCAGAACATGCAGTTGTAAAGAAAGATGAAGGTAGTGTCATTGCCTTTCGTAGCTGGTTTGGAATTTATCCAATAATAACAGTTAAGAAAGCAATGATTCCTTAGTTGTATAATGGCCAACTGTCTGTAGTTGTGGAGTTCTATAGGGAGAAATAATCCTTTTTTTCAGTGTGTTAATGCATCATGCCATAAGACAGTGTGTCTAGCAGTGGTGTGAGGCGACATCCAGAAGCTATTTTGGCCAGCCAAGAGCCTCATCCTGAGCTCAGTTTAACTGTTTTAGGATATTTTGTAACAGAGACAGAAAGAACTTCCCTCAATAATTTATAATACTTGGAGCTGCTTTGAAAATGGAGGGACAGTCTATTCCACCAGCCGTGTGGCAAGACATAGTAACAGAAACCAGGGTGTAATTAATGCTTAAACTGGGCCTACTTACTTGTAAAATGAAGCCCATCAGTGAAATACAATATCTCAATAGTAAGATCTGCTGTCCCACTACTTTTGGTAGAATAGTGTACAGGATAATAAAAAATTATTTTTCCTATCTTAAAATTTAATAATTAAATAAAGAACTAAGTACAACCGTGCAGTTTTCAACATTCTGTAACCCAACTCAAACAGTTTTTATTATCGTTTTTTTTTTCACTTCAGTGAGTAGTGTTAACATTTAAAATGGTAACTGTGCAAAAAAAGGTTCAATGCGTCATATGGCTTACATGCTGGGCCATTTCTGTGGCGTCCATGTTTATCAGACATCACTCCACTAGACTCCTTTCTTTGGAGGTATGTTAAGGACATCGTATGTTGCACACTTATACGGTAGTCCCTGGTGGATACGACCCCTCCCAATAACGACTTCCTTCTAAATACGATTTTTTTTGTGTACTGAATGATTTTACACCTCAAGACAGATGCGACATACGACCGTTATTTTTTTGGCTGAAGGTCGAATAACGACCTCTCTATAAGGACTTTTCTTCATATCGGTGATGTAATATACAGAGACACATGAATACAGTGTATACAGTATGGAACAGAGAGGTCACATGACCGGAAATTGCTTCACAGCTTGGTATATGTATCTTGGTGCCCCAGAGTGTTCAAGTCAAACTCCATGGTACATACACGTAGATAATTTGTTTTAAAAACTTTCAGGTCCTGAAAGGTAACCAGGGACAGTCAGAAACTGTTGTTTGTCCCTGCCCTGCTCGTGAAATTAAGGTTTATTCTTTTAGTGAATGTGGTAGATTTTGAGCTACTGGCCTGGATATTAAGTAACTTGATTAGTATTTATTAATGGGGTTTGAAGATTATTAACTCACGGGTTGTTGAATGACAGACTCGACTAATCTGTGCGGTAATCATGGCTAATGAAATACCTCAATACATCCAGTAAAGCTGCGAATGTCTCAAGCTGAGAACAGGAAGTCGATGTGAAGAAGGCGGCTCGATGTGTTGATATGGAAACGTGACGTGGTCGTTGATATAGACCAAAATTGTGACGAAAGCAACAAAATAATCGAAACATGGAAATTAGAGAATTTTTAGTAAACTTGAAAGTGTTTTAATGAACATATTACATTTTATGTAGTATTTGTATTTAGAGATGATTACCTTATTAGATATTGGCTAAAGTCTAGCAATAATTTAGTTCATATATTTATTCTTATTTATTTACTGGTTTCTTTGAATTCACGAAATGGTCCGTTTTTAGAGCTGGAATCAAAGGTAAAATTTTGGTTTAGCTGTTTTGGGGGCTGTTTTGTTCAGTTAAGATACGTAGCTTCTGATGTTTGTCTGTTTCTTTAAAATTACAGCGTTTTGTATAGTTATACTGTGGATTTTTCATGTTGCAATGGTGGTGAATATGGGAAGATTTTTTTTTATTATGTTCGGTGAATCTGGTTTCCAATTTTCTTCCGGTTTCTCTGATGTAGAATTCTGGACATTTTTTATACTTTATTTTATAAAGTGATACTAATATCGTGCGCTGAAAACTAAAAACGAAACGCTTCTTCATATAATAACTGCCAGACTCGTGAACATTCAAAGTGACTCCGTTAAATGCGCAAAACAAACACAGGTGGACGAGTTTTTAGGAAATACGTTTTGTGTAAGTTTGTAGTATTTTACATGTATGTAATAAAAATGTGGTCGATGAATAAATTATTTTACATAAAACACAAACGTTTTAAGTTATCTTTATTGAATTGTTTTCCATCATAACTATTATACCAATTTGTGACGTTATCTAACTACCTGTACAGTATATAAACCATTATGTCCAACCTTTGGGAATAGCAACTGACACAGCTCGAACCCAGTCGTTTCTTATGTGGTTACTGATCCTTTGAATAACGACTTCCTGTCAGATGAGAATTTTTGATCATGGTAGATAGGTCGGTCGTGTCTAAGAGGGACTACTGAATAACAGACGCCATTGTAACTGTGGACATGTTGCAGCAAACGTGGACTGAAATCGAATATCGGTTAGACGTGCTGAGAGCCACTAATAGTGCACACTTAAAAGTCTACTGACATGTCAATAACAACTGTTTGAGTTGGGCTACAAGATGTTGAGGACTGCATGGTTGTATTTCTTTGGTTATTAAAATAGGAAAGGTAATTTTGGACAACCATTTATATATATACACAGTTATATAGATTGTATATGGGTTTGTGTTTGTATTTATACCTAAATATATATTTAATACGTAAAATCATATTAGATACAAGTTTGTTTTTTTTTATTTGACTAAACAGTTTTTAGAACGAAGTAAGACCACTCATGCTTTAGGAAGACCGGGAGAAGCAGAAGAGGTTGCATCAGCCATAGCTTTCCTTGCTTCTGATGAAGCATCCTTCATAACTGGTGTGACTTTACCTGTTGATGGAGGTCGACATGCTATGTGTCCTCGATAGAACTTAAAATTTGTAAACCCTAGAATGAAAACTGTAAAGCAGAAATTACATGATAATGCTGGAATAGTAGAGTTCTCCTTTTGAAATATCTAATACTTATTTTTATTTCCTTGATATAATTGAGATTAAGTGATCTGTTAGGAGGAGCAAGTATTGTACACGGTGAAAATGTTTTTGTAGAGATTGTGAAGTTTTAAGTAAAATTTTTTACAGATGATGATATGTCTATTGTAAAGTGTAATTAACTTTTTGCCTTAAGATACAAGACTGCCAATTAGATTTCCTGTATGTTCTGAAATTGGTTGTGGTTAACATGGAATATATGCCCCCTTCCTAGTATAGAATGGTTATTTCGTAATAATAATAATACAAATGACAGATCATCAGAAAACTTTCTTTATATGGTAACTACTGTAACCATGGAAATGATGGCATATAGATCATGGATGCCAAGGAGACTTTCTTCACGTGATTTATATTATATCTATTCTTCTGAAATTATTAATTTCTCATTTTTAAATCATATCAACTTCATATAATATTTGGAAATTATCTTTTTATTATCTCTATCTCTGTTTTTTTGAATTAAAAACTGAAACGGCAGGATAGTCAAACACGCGTGTATTTCCCATCCAAAGGCCCACTGCGCTACCGTGTCAAACTTGGCGGCACGTTCCCCCCCGTTCTGCCAACTACGATAAGAGTTTCTAAAACGCTTGAATACAATGTTTAAATTGCAGTTAATCTCGTCATCAAATAATGCGAATAAGTGAATTAAACCCTAAACACATTACCGACGTTTCGGTCTGAAGCAAATTATTCAAACCAACAGAGTATACTTTCCGACCCTACCGTGTGTATGTGTGTTTTTCTAGCAAATCCACATCGAACTATCTGTTGTGTCCACCGAAGAGAATCGAACCCCTGATTTTAGCGCTGTAAATCCGAAAACTTACCGCTGGCCCACCGAGGGACCTGGCTCTACCGATTTATACGGTAGGCTACGAATTACAGGACCCTTCCCCTCAGTGGGTAAGCGATACGTTTACGAAATGAAAATGTTAAGTTCGGGATTCGATTCCCCGTGTTGGGCAGAGCACAGATAGCCTATTGTATAGCTTTCCGCTAAAACAAACAAACAATGTACACAATGCCACCTATAATTATATAATTAAAAGAGTGACGTATGTGCGTGGGAAGCCTTTAAACTTCACCAAACTATGGAAAAGTAAAATTTGGAGTAGGAAAGTACAGACGACGTCACCATATGCATAATGAAGGGATGGGTGAAGATATTACTATGCATTACAAAGGGAAAGGTATTTGCGTAATGGATCTGTCATCCCCCTTAGCCCCATCTAAGGCAGCAGTGTATACGTGGTAAGGTTTTGTGTGAGAATTTCTTGATTTGTTTATAGACATTTAGAGTACTGGTATCGTCACCCTGTTGTAGTTTAATACCTGTCCACTTTAACCAGGTTTTTAAAGTGTCACCTGATCTTGTCTGTCTTACTTGATAAGTCAATCGGTTTGTCATTTTTTTATCACACAATTCGGCCCAATGTGTCTTGTACTAGAGGTGTTTGTTGGGTATCACTTATTGTGAAATAGGTTTAACCGACTTAAGTCTAACCTCGCTGTCATTGAGACGCCCCGCATGGCCATTCAATTCGTTCAGAACTCGTACGTACCTAACCTATTACTTGAGTAGTCTAGGCAGGTCACTTAGCTTCTTTAATTGCGTTAAATACACAGAGCTTCATTTGCATTTTATAAACTTCGTGCATTCAAATACAAATTACCTCAACCAGAAAAATGTTTCGTACGCGAAACATAAGTTTTCCTTCTAGTTTTTGATTATTTTTTATCTTATTCGGGGGGAGGGGGACAGTTGCATCTCTTTACTTCCTTTATAGTAATTTCTAATTTTATAATTGTTGTGTTTCCCAAGTAAAACAGTATAGTTAGTTTATACGAAAGGGTAAACCTTGTTTTCCTAAATATTCAACTGGTACACTAAATCACACGCACATTTTGAAAGTGACGTATAGTGTTATTTACTGAATTATACAAGTCAAGTACTAACCCATGTACGAATGTGGAAAATACATGACCATGCTAGTTTTATTAAAGTACTAAACGACGAAATATTGTGTATTAACATCAGTAACAATCAGTTTTCACACTGGGAAACTTCCGTCAATAACTAAGTTAAACCTAATCCTCATAGGATAAGCTGGAGTAAGTGGTTTGTAGTATTAATATTATTACAGAAAAAAATATTATTCCTTCGACTTCATTTAGTGTACTTGCAATGCATCAATTTTATCTCCTACGTATCAGTTTAGTTCCCATACATTTACAACTCTCTTTCTTTCATTTAGGATATGTTGAAAAAAAAGCATACACAAATTTCCACCCACAAAACACTAGCTTAGGATTATCTTTTCGTAGTGATGTGTATCAGAGTTTTGTTTGTAACTTAAAGTTATCTATAGGCCAAAAGAATAATCACGTAAACTGCAATGTTTTTTTTTCACGTTTTTTGTGTGTGTAAAAATAATATTTCAGACTTATTTTCTATTTCTCACAAATCACTGCCAAGTAGACCTTTCGCGTAATACCAGAAGTCATCAGTTGAGGAAAAGCTAGAAACTTTATCGGTAAGGTGCATGTATGAAATATTTTACAGCACTAGTGTTACATTTGTGTTTTATTTAATACTAGCTGAATAAGGGTGAAATAAAAACTCGTTTGTAACAAAGGATAGGAAATTGTGCTTCTATTTTTTTCCCTAACATAATGAATATTAAAAGTGCAATACAAATACATAAAGATACCAATACTGAAAAGAAAGGCATACTGTTTTCAAGAATTCTATCAATATGAAATTAGACGGGGAGTAAACCTCCCTCATGACCTTCCTCATGTCATCCTGTATCACTTCGTCAAATTGTGCTGATTGATCAAGAAATGTGGAAACGACCGTGTACATTTTTTCCCGCGCACACGCTTTGCTTTATATTGGCCAGGCTTTTTTAAGTGTCCAATTTGATGTCGCCAGTGTTCTGTGGCACATTTCTCTGAGTACGTACCTTACACAAACATGTAATAATTTCTAAATAATAGATGATGGACAGTACTTTCCAAACATATAATATGTTGAGTTTGTGTTAAGTTTTTACAGTAAACCAAGGAAATAAACAATGGTGAGGTGTTAAAAGTAGAATGTTGCCAGCAGAAAATTAATTTCAAAACAATAACACAAACCC